GAAAAATGAATGAAAAACAAAACAAAAAAATAAACAAAAGAAAACGAAATCAACAGAAAAAAGTATCAACCAAAAAAATGAAGGTCAAACAAATATTGCACTTTCTCCTATTGGATTGGAGATACAAATATTGCAGTGTAGAAAGTTTAAATAAATATAAACCATTCATTACTGTAGTTAATTATTCATGTTATGACTATGGAGTACTAGGTATATGTAATTGTATGTATACTTTTATCCAAATGCAAATGTAATTTTTGAAGGCATAGGATTAAATTAATGCAAACCCAAGTTTTTACAAGAACCCTATACTCATCAATAGACGTCACTTAATAAGTAATAATTRTGTTTTGACAGGGGGGTAATTAACATTCATAGGCTTGGAAGATCTTGGAGGTTGAAAAGTAGAAAAAGTCAGAATCACAGAGCATTTAACCCGTAAAATATAAATTATTTGTCAACRTGTAATAGTCAAATAGACACAAAAGAAAACAATACAATTAAGGTCTACTAAAGCGTATTAGTCTAATATCTATTTCACGGGTTAAATGACTTTACTCTAGAATACTTTGAGAACTATTTTGCCTTAAATTTTCTAATTTTATATTAATTGCCGCCCAGTCAACTCCAAAAAGTCGCGTGATTGATAGTAAACAATATGGGTGATCCTGTAGTAAGTATATATACCAGTTATGTCATGATAAGGGAAGGTATTTATAATCCAGTTCTTTTTGTCCATATACACGCAAATCTAATTAGACTAAATACGATGGACTACTTTGACAATATAGCAGCTATGACTTCATGTGCAAAGAAAGAATATTTGCCCCCTGAATACCCAATAATGCATTACGATTCAAGATGGCTGCCGTATCATGAAATTAGTCCATTGACAGAACTGGCAGTGTCTTACAATGATAAAAAACTTTCAACTCTGAAAACATGTTCAATAGGTTTATTCAATTTTTGGTAATGAGTTTCAGTAACAACATTTTATCTTTCATTATTATCTTATTTCCTGAAAGAGTAACTGGAACTTAGCTGCAAACACTGATAGATGGTCAGCTGGCTGATAAAAGACATTTTGAATTTCAAGTAAATTCAGTACACATTCTCTATAAATGCATTTATAACAGCAAGTATAGACAGACAAAGAGTTATCTTAGGTTGTTAYTTGTTCTCAACTTCGGAATGTCCATGTACATTCAATCTTTGTATAAAATTAAAGATTACAAAATTTATTATTCTGTTTCTTGTTTTGGTTTTTGTCAATGGTCTCTTTTCCTATTTCATACCATGTTATTCCCTAGAGTATGATTGTTTTGTTTAACTGTTGCAATCATGAATATGGATACAACTAAGGGAATGACTTAATCTCAAATGGGAAAACATTGCACCCAAGCTAACAAGCTATCAACCAATAAATTGAATCACAAGCCCAGATCTTGGTCTTAGGTTGTGTGTGATTTTGACATTTTTCTACATTCTAAGAGTTTGCTAGCTGATGTGATGCTCATAAAAATCTGCTAAACAGTCTTCTATATCATTRTCTTGCTCCATATGGTCAAGTTCTCTTGTTCCTAAATGTATAGATTGTGGCTCTGATTTTTCTTGTGTAGTAGGACTGTCTGGTTTCTTCCTTCCTGGAAAAGATGAAGTTTATCAGGCCTTATAAAATACATTGATCAGGGTTCGTGCTACTCCTTAAACTCCTTGAAAACTCCTTGAATTTAATTCACGTTGTCAAGGGCACTTGAAAAGCTCTTGAATTTTATGATKTTAGGGAAACTCCTTGAAAACTTGAATTTTTGCTTTGATCATTACTTGCATGGTTCTGAAATAGATCTAGTCAGAWAGACTGGAAATCTGAAAGTCRGCCATKTGCAACCACCGYGTAAAAACTTGGCATATTTAGCTGAACATACTCCTTGAAAATTCATTTCTGGGTCCTTGAATTTTAAGTGGTTACCTCAGCAAGAACCCTGATTGATTCATACTAAAAAGCATGACATTAATATATTCATCTTCGTTCACCCCCTTATTACGTTTAATAAGAATGGAATGACAGTGCATATGCAAGAAAATATCCATACCCYGACCACTGAGGGAATTTATAAAGGGACTCCACTATCGCCAGGAACTTCCTCCTCTTACCCACTTCCCTTCAGTATTTGCAATTCTCTCTGTGGGTGGGGTATGATATTTTCTGGAACTGCAAWTATTCTCCACACTATTTAGTCCATTCGGCATTCAATTTTTTCATTGCAATCCTGCCTTCATTTCATTCATTCCTTTTTCTCAGTTATACTTACCTTTATGACAGCTCCTCTTGACAGTTTCCCTTAATGTCTTTAAATTATTAAAAAATCTACAATCAACATAAGAAAAATAGTTCAGRAAGTGCAGAGTTGTATAATTTATTTTGTTTTAAAATCTGGGTAATATTGACAGTTGCAAACATGGTTAAAAAAGAATGACATTTTAGATATTAAACAAACCTCTTTATTTTTGTTAAATTTTCATCCATTTTATYATTTGCAATTTCTACCAAGTACTTGATATACTGCAAAATAAAAAAGGCTTATAGTTCATGCAAACATTAAATGTAGAAATTAAATCTAAAAAATCTACAAAGCTTTTTGCTGTAGTATCACAGCGTGGGACAATCACAACAGAGCTAGCCTCCAAACTAAGTGAAAGCCCAAAGATCAAATTAGAATTTAGAAGTTGATTTTTGAGGAGGGAGGAAAACTGGAGAAACCGGAGAAAAAGCCTCAAAGCTCTACTCACGTACGACATCGAGATCGAAAAAACTCTAACTCGGGCCGCATTGGTGAGAGGTGGAGCATTAGCATGCAGCGCACACCACCAGTGCTTCCCGATAAATGCAGAAATTTGCTGCTAATTATGGATAACAGTCTTTGCATGTTTAGGGATATGGGATAGCTACCCCAGGGAATAATTTATATTAATTGATAAGTGATTTTAAAATAAAAAAATCCTCACTTCATTTGATACCAAAAGTTTTCCTCTGTGAATGATAGGTACTTSCATGCTTTGTGTACTCCTCACTGCCTATAAAAGTATTGTGTGAAAAAAATTATCAACAAGCAATTCCAACCCAAAATAAAATGCTGTGACCTAAACTGAAAACAAGAAATACTAGAGCATTTTTTATTATAATTTATGGACTTATTGAAGTGCTCCAATATTGAAGTGGCTTGTGACTGATATGGGTTTCGGAGAGTTTGGCTTGGAGTAAGTCTACTCTTTGTCAAGGAGGGCTAGGGTATGATGGCTGGTCAATCTGTGTTTGGACATGATAACTGATCCCATCAGACTAATAATAATAATAATAATAATACTATTTATTTATACATGATAAGTTATATACAGCGTAGCTGATGTGGTCGTGTAAAACATGTGACTAGTCAATGTGAAAGATCAAGTGGACCAGCATAGAGGCATTTGACTGGACAAGTGCCRATTTTAGCCAGACACTGTTCATTCACCAGGTATCATTTTTAGTCCTTAAAACACAATTAATCATTTCATGTCTCATGTTTTTGCCAAAGTGGGGTGAAAACTAGCTGCATAAGCTACTTGTATCAATTAATCACACTTTTATAGGATCTTACCAAAATGAAACGAGACTTTTTTCCAACAACGATTCCAGAATTCTTGTAGCCAGACTCGAGTGCATTTCTCAACTATAAAAAATAAAAGCAATGTATCATACTGAGATATCCTTTGTGTCAGTTTCTATAGCAATAAATAATATGTGATGRGGTTGCTGGCCCCATACACATTGCCAGAGCCTTGAAKTCCTTGTTGTCGACCCTGATGATGATCACACCATGAATTTGTAAAATTTGTCATTTTATACTATGGGGGCAGACACAACCTTCATTTGTTATGATGTGAATAATTYCCCAATAACATCAATAAATATTATTCCTTGCTCTCCTACCCCCAAAACACATATTATTACAAATGGCAATGAGATTGGGCAAAACCAAATTAAGAGACATTACCAATGATTGTGCATCCTCTATTGTCTTACACTGGACATGAAGAACAAAGGGTTCAAATTTAAAGACAGCATTTCCTTCACTGACGTCTAAAGATAATAACTACAAGRAAGATACAAAGATCAGTGTTAATGCATGCTGGAAGAGCTTCCAGTACTACCGTAACGAAGGAAATGGTGTTTTCTTTCTTTTATTTCCCAGTCAATCTTTTACCGTATGCRTCATCAATGTCATATTTAATGCAAGATTATAATTAAATGTGGGCTCATAACTAGAAGGGGTTGGTCTAAAGAGGTTGGATTTGCACAATCCCATACAAGGCAACTGTCAAATTATTTGTGGGTTCTAATTTGGTTCCTCTTATCCCTCCTCTCCCTTCCCCTCCCCCCTCCCCTCCCCCCCAAAAACCTACCCATACAACTCACAAGTGACTGTAGCTCTATCTTGTYATGTGATATAAATAACCATTTTCCGGACTTCTTTTTGTGCTCTGAATCCTAAAAAATACAGAAGAGTTACACGTATAAAAGTACAACTCTTCCTCCCAAATGAAGTCTGCAGCCTAAAAACTTTAAGCCTTAATTTTTTACCTCAGAAAATACACAAATTCTTCCAGAACAGGAACTTGTAGTGAAATAATTATCTAGRCCATTGATATACTGTACCAATTCAAGAATATGTTCGTCTATGCTGCCTTTCTTACTTAAATCAGCCTGCGAYAGACTCTTCTCTTTTTGTTTATCAAAGTCCGCCATCTTGGCTCAAGCGATTCCAGTTTTTCCACAGGTAACCCATACATCATTTAGTGAAAAATAAATTTTATTCAATTTTAATGTTGTATAGAATTTAAAATAAACCTTATCAGAATACTATAGCATGAATTGGAATTAGCATTAGGGTGTCTGTGTTTTGGTTTTAGGAAAACATATATAGTTTTTGTACATCAGACATTWAAAATATYRATTATTCCCTGTGGGTTACCTGTGSCCGAGCTGATCAGAAGTTCGCGCCAAATGTTTACCTAAAGTTTGTCTTCGTTTGCTTTTAGAATATTGAAAATTTCAAGCCTTAAAGCTTGAAAATGCTACGTAGAAAGCCTACTAGGATAGAACTAAAGCGAGATGACCTGGATGAATACGAAAAAGCTAAAGAAAGATGGACAAAAARTACTGAATCAGGCAGCGAGAAGAAGGCAGTATTGAACGATACGCTAGACACTGCAATGTTGAACGAATCAGAAAGAATAGCCAAAGTACAAGAGAGAATTGGGTATATCAAGCCACAGGTTGTACCTAGTGATGGGACTTCTCACTTTTTATGAAGATGGAGATGCTTGGGATTGAACTGTAGAATGCACGAACGACCAGGATTTGAAGGGCTAGAATTTGATGTGCAAAGCTTACTTAATATCTGGAATGGAATCTAGTGCCTAGAAGATTAACTGAATTTGAAAAAAAATCTAGTGRAAAATGAAAGGATGAGAAACGTTTATCAGGAAGTATGGGATAAAAAGATATTGAAAACCGAAAAGCAGTTATGGCCCATATAAGTAGTTTCTCTGGTTTTAAGCTGCTCTCTTTCATCACTGAGTGGACACTTCAGTGCACTGCCTCCAACAGTACTTATTCAGGAAACAGTTATCTTTCAATTTTGGCTCCCCACCAACCAAGACTACCACTACCRCCACAGAATTTACAAACAGAGAAGGGTAACAAGTTTTTCTTCTTACCTGTCAGAAATTTGCTTTGAACTCTCTACTCTTTAGACAGTGCAGTGGTTATTGATTTGACAAAGCCACCCACCCCTCCCTTCCAATATGGTGACCAATTTGAATATTTATTGTTCTACACTGACTAGTGACTGACTAGCCTTGTGTTCACATAGAAACACAAAAGCATTCTTGACACATATGAGAGGCTTGTCAGTCGCTAGTCAGTAMAGAACAACAGTTATTCAAGATGATTGCCATATTTCAATTTGGTGTATGCTAGCGAATTCTTGAGGTCCTGGGCTAGGGCTATAGCATTGGCTTTTACGCATCAGGCCCATCACTAGGACCTTGAAAGGGGAGGTTCGTTTTTCTACCAATCTTAGTTATGCCATTTCTTTTAAAACTAAAAAGCACTAAACATTATTTCATTCTCCTGAAAGGGAAAGAGGCGGGGAGGGGGGTAAACCATCGAACCACCCCTAGCAAGGGACCTACTCTCTATTGTGAAACTTTTTATTAGAAAGCCAAGGGTATACCCATTTTTAGTATTGGGTTTTGACTTCCGTTAAATAAAATTTCCACTTATAGTCTTAGTTGATATTTTTAATTGATGGAAGACAAAAACCCAGGGCCCAGTTTGTCATTATGTACTGGATACTGAAGTTCATGCTGTTTCTAATAAATTTATCCACTGGATAAAATATATATCTGTCTTATAGCACTATCCACCCTTAATTCAACCAGGCCCAGATATCTGTACTAGTCATGTGATCATGAATGTGGATAAATTGTAAAGAATTAAATGCCTGGCAACACTTATAGCCTGGATTCATTTTAAAAAACTCAGAATAGTCTCAGTTTAGTTAAGGTTTGCCTCAGAGGTCAGTTTTGGGCCCACTCACTTTTTAGATCGTTGAACTCTTGTAATGATTAAACTCAAAGACAAAAATAGAAATACCATCCAGTTCATATTACCAGGAACTATTCTTAGCTCCTTTTGAAAAGGGCGAGATGTCAGCTAAACTGTAAGACAATCTGCCCCGTTGTGCTTGGCACGTGAACGCGCGGGGGTTTCCCTGAATTTGAACTCTGCTTGGATACTTCCGCTTGATCTCGTCATGTCCTGATTAAAATAGAAAAAATCCCGCAAAGAAAATAAATAAATAATTTTTCAATACTATGAGAATTTTAACGCTTTATAGTGGTTTGTGTAGGAGTATGGTGACATTCCGRTTATGCGCTGTAAGACGCGTGGGCCAAATGTAACATTAAATAACTATCATTCGTAAAACAACTTTGATTAGCCGAAGAAAAAAAAGTTGGCCGCCATTTGCAGTAAATAATTGTCATGTTTGATTTCTAGGTAATATGTGTTAGTATTACAATGTTTTGGATGGTACTATACGTTAACACTTTTTCTACCCTGTGAGCAGAGAGCAGGCTGGTTGGGGAGACCTACGAACAAAACGGAGGGCAGAAAAATGTCTCTGCTAGCAGGGTAGCACTTTTCTTCGTTGACTGTTCCATTCACACCTCATTCCACATTAGATTACGACCACGATGTTACCTCGGCTAGCAGGGTAACACTTTTTTTCGCCTTGACTGTTCAATCAATACACCTCATTCCAAATTAGATTAAGACCACGATGTGTATACATGACGCTGATATTGGGCGAGTTTTAGGAAGCATTAGCTATTTTCTCACTGTYACTGGAACAATCTTTGTTCTTCTTCGGCTGTTTGAATATTTATGCCTAATAGAATTGGAACGTAATTTTTTTGAACGAGAATATTCGTCTAGCGAAAATGAAACTCGGAGCGTGCTGTGACGATGAAAAATTGTCTAAAATGATTGGCATTACATTTTGTAATTAAGAATAACAGACGCTAACATGACCAAAAATTAATACGRCGAAGGAGGATTCAACAACAAACTCAGATATTTTTTATTTAAAATATTATTTTAAAAARTTATCTTACATTTGACTCAAAACGAAAATGTTTTGGATATACGATACGTGACCGAGTACACACCTTTAAAAAAATATATATTACATTTAATAGTCACGAAGATCTTGTGCCTTTCAGCATAATTTTGAACCTTTTTTTACGTGGAATATTAATCGAAAACCCCTTGCAAAGGCAATTGTTCATTTTCATCATAAATGTATTTCATGTCAGGAAGCTTATTCGACGAACTCTACCGTGAATGTTCATTAACCTTATCTGGTCTATTGGCGTGTTAATTTTGAGATCTCCAAATGTCTGGAAACGTTGGATGGAAGATTCTAGAAAGGTTTCATCACGTCCTTGAATTCACTCAAAAAGATTTGAATTGCAAAGCACAGATTTGAAGTATTCTGTGTGTAGAGATAGACTTCGATTCTTGGTCTACATATGGCTTGTAGTATGGCCAGCTTTATGCTGCATTCGCGTAGTTTTCCTTCTAAACTCTTGCGGCAATGCCAATCCCTTGAGTTATTTCACGTTTTTTTTAACAGAGCCTTTCCTAACCATAAGCTCTCCTCTTTTAGCAGCCACATCAAGTCGAGAAAGTAACCTCGAATGTAAAAGTGATGACAAAGCTCCCTGGGTTTTGATGATCCAGTCTTTATCGTAAATACATTCGTTTTCTTCCACTTGGACATCTCTATAACCCTTTTCTTCGGTTAAGGCAGATCCTGAGTCGTACCCCGACTCATCATCAGCGAAATAGATAGCATTATCATCCATCGCGGAAACCATTTGAACCTTGGTTGATATACGTATAGTATGGTACCATTAGATTTGAAGACAACCAAATCTCTTTTCTTGTCAGGCACACACGATAAGTGTGAAGCTGTGACCTTCAACAATTGATATWTGACTGCTATTATTGTATCATAAAGGCACGTCACATATGGGAGGCCGTTTATATGCAAATCACCGATTATTAACAGTAAACAAGCTTCTAGAGTCTTCCAGTCAATCATGTGAGTCAGTAGACCAGGGGATTTTTTTCAGCTTACAATAATATAAAAACTTGGCAAACGATTGACGAGCTTTTGCACTCTCAGCAAGAATGAAAGAAACTGCAAATCTGCGTTTTCGAGTGGGTTTTAAGTTAAAAGTCCTTAAAGTGTATATGACACGAAAACATTCCATCATTTAAAATGTATAGTTTGTTAGTAATAATAAATATATCGTAATGAAATTTGTTTCAAAAGCTTATTTCTTGAGATATTTGAGAAAGTTAATCCCAATTTGAGACGTCATTTTGTTGACACGTACTCTAGATTCAGTAGTAATGTACTAAATATAAATTGTAATTCATATAAATTAACAACAAAAGACATATTTTAGTCAGCTTCATTTGATAGCTTACGTAGTACTCTTCCAATGTTGGGAAATTGAAAAGTGTACTACTTGAAATTAAGTTTCTATATTCAAACATATTTCATGTATTTGCAACTAAATCTGGAGACTTGTAAACAAAATGACGTCACAACTTGTGCTAAACTTTCTTGAATTTCTAGAGAAATGCGTTTTTGGAACAAATTTAACCGTGATATTCTTATTAATGCCAATAAACTACACATTCTTAACACTAAAATTTTTTCGTGTCATATACACTTTAACCGGCAACATAAATGTATTACAAACATCACGAAAARTGTTTACTGTAAATTATAAATATTTATTTTGACGAACCCGAATTTTCTAGATTAGCCTTTCATTAGGCATCAATGAACGTATATCGGATAAAAGTCGTGGAAAGTAATCTAATAGTATAAGAGTTTAAGTGGATTTTAAGCGAGGGACTTTAAACCTTTTTTGAGTGCAAACAAAGCAATTTATTTTCGATGGATAATACCTGGTACTTTATTGTTAAGTGATCACGTATTAATTAATGGTACATTGTTAAAACGTACTGGAAAAGTTGAGTATTATAGAACGGGTATATTATTTCAGAGTCTGAGGAGTTTTTTCTCCCCCTCAATCAACTATAGGCTTTCTTTTTCACTTTACACAGTCTATATTTTGAAAGACTAAGCTACTGATTTAGAATTCGAAGGTGTTTATCGTCCCGTTAAAAGGGCTGGTTCACACTTTAACATAAGCATAAGTATAAACATAAGCATAAGAAACACAAGTGTGAACCGAGCTTGCACAAAGAATATGCACAAGCATAAGCATAAGCATAAGAATGACAATAGTACTATGTTCCTTATGCTTATTTTTATGCTTATGTTGAAGTGTGAACCAGCCCTTAGACTTTAAAGTTTAATACTCATGGTGCTAAATTATTTAATGACGAAATAATAAGTGAGCAGTTTACTTATAACCAGTTACTTTAAAAAAATAAGCATGGCTAAAGAATCGATTGTTCTTCAAAGTCCAAAAAACATCACGGAAAAACACGTAGTAATAATAATCAATTACAAGATTTTATATTTTGAGAAATCCAAAGTAAAAAGTACAAAATGATCATTGTTTATTTTTAGAACTGGACGAAATCATGAGGTTAGGCGTTTCACCATCACGTGATCCTTGGGCATGTCGATGCTAGCTTCATGTTCTTTCCGGTACCGGAAAACCGTGATACTGACCAGTAGACTAACGCAGGCTCTTGGGACTAAGCTTTGAAATCTCAGTTGCCCATAAATGATCATCCACTAAAGCATGTAAAAGCAAAACATCTTTACCTTGGCGAATATTCTCGTGTTATACCGCGACTTCAGTTGAAGAAGAACGCCTTATAACGACTAGCGTTATTTACTAGCGCAGGGAGCCCAATTTAGATGAAAGTGAATAAAAGAGTAYATATACATAAGAGCGACATTACTTACCTTTCTCTACTTTCACATCCCCATAATCCTTGCGTCTTTGTTAGGTAACCAGAGGGTAAAAACCCACTTATTTTGCTGAAGGCTGATCAGACAATGTTGACAATACCTTGTGTGACAGAGTCAAAAGACACTATTT